GCTACTGGTGGCAGTAGGTGGTCTCGCAGGTACCCTGGGCCTAAGCCATGGAGTGCTTTAAAGGTCATAATTAGTACCTTGAATCACACCCGGAATACAACATGCAACCAGTGCAGGCCGCCTAAAAGGGGTGTAACATGGGAGCACCTAGGTGCCCCCATGATAACCCACGCAGCCGCATTCTGGACCAGTTGAAGCTTCTGGGTGCTCTTCAAGGGCAGCCCCATGTAGAGAGCGTTACAGTAGTCCAGGCGAGAAAGGACGAGGGCATGAGTGGCTGTGCACAGAGCATCCCGATCCAGGAAGGGGCACAACTGACGTACCAGGCGAACCTGGTAAAAGGTCCCCCTGGTCATGGCCGTCAGGTGTTCTTCTAAACTAAGCCGTGTATCGAGGAGGACTCCCAGATTGCGGGCCCTTTCTGAGGGGGCTAAAATTTCTCCCCCCATCATCAAAGATGGAACAAGATGCACAAATCGGGATGACGGAAACCACAGCCACTCCGTCTTGGAGGGATTGAGCTTAGGTAAAATTAGAGGGTATTTCTTAAAAATAATGTTACCAAAGCAGATCTACCATAAACAATACTTTGCAATGCCACTTCTTATTAATCTAAGGACAATAAAAAGACTATGATGGAAGTTACTTCAGACAACAAATAAGTAAATTGAGATTTCTAGGTCAATTAAGATGAATCCAAATAGTGTGGCAAAGTCATACTCTGCAATGACAGGAGAGTTTATCTTTCATCACTGCCAATGGCGTGTAGGTATTTCAGTAACTTCTGACCAGATAGCGTCTCTATGGAAGAATTCAGATAATGCCAAACAGAAGTTATCTTGATGAATGTTCAGGGGATGCATACAGGGTGACCTCTTAAAAGTTGAAAATGTTTTAAGACATGCCAATATTTCTGGACTAAACTGATGCCAAATTTGGTAGCAGCTCAAAAATTACTTGTCCAAATCAGTGTCCCATCGGGTCAATTACATTCAGTTGTCCTTGGTGCTCTCTGAACTGGTTGCTTCCAAAACATTTTGTTACCAAACTAGATAGTATTTTCAGTGCTAGAAGGGACTGGGGTTTGTTCCCTATAGACATTAACTTGCTCTGCCAATGTTGGTGAGGGTGTTGTTTCTTCCTTGCTAGTTCCTTGATTAGGCTGCTGTTTATTCTTTGATTGTTTGTCTTCAGTTGCTTTGTCTGAGTTGGTTGTTCTTTGATTAAGGTATTGTTTACTATTTGATTGTCTGGTGCAAAACCCTGCTTATCTGGATGTTGATTATTGACAATATATAAAATGTATTGTTGTTCTTCAGGTCTCTTTCTTAAATGCATTTGTGCAGACAGAGATACAGTGAAGTTGATATAGCAGCACCAACAATAGTATATTTTGGCAGGTTGGTCAGGGATAGAGTGATTTCCCCCCCATATGTAATACTTATGCCTATATTTGAAAATGGGAAAATGAATTCAGTTTGGAATCAGCTCTATAGCTAATAAACCATTGTGAAAATGCTTTGTGACCAAGCAATACTGAATTAGCTAAACTGCTTCTTGAGAAAAGTACTATAAATTACACACTTTAAAATCACATGGTGTAATCTTGCACCTGATACTCTTCAGCATTGGCTATGCTGGCCAGGCCAGTTAGAAATTCTATTCCAGTAATTGCACACACATTTCTATGCTAAAATAACTTTTGCTATTATTAATAGGTTTAGATTACTGAGAATGACACAATTTACATAAAATTTTAGAAACCCAGCAACTGATACAATACTACTGAATTTATTTTCTATGTTGTGCAGTTTTCTAAAACAGGACATGCTTCAGAAAAATGTTTTCAGGTCAATCTACCATGGAATTCCAGCTTGGCTTAGAAAGCTTTTATGTTTTATAATACATTCTCAATTCATATCATATCCTAGTAAAGCCTGCTAGGCATTATTGTTTTCTCATGCAAGATCACACACAGAAAACAAAATTAATGTGCTACTACTAGTTTCTGCATCACAGACTATATTAAGATGAGTTATTTTGCATATTATGTAGCGGGAACGGTCTACACACATATATTCCCAATTATTAATTTATTGTTAAAGTGTATCACAGGAATCTTGTCAGACTAATAGTTAGCACCAGGTTCAAACTAGATAAGAGTCAAGGCATTCAAGGGGGTGTAGGACTTATTAGTTTGTGGCTACTTAGGATTCTAAACCAATTCCTCTTTTAACTCTTCCCCTTGGCTCTGCCAGTCCTTCTCCTACACTAAGAGCAACAGATAAAGTTGCAGGCCAGTATATTTCTACATAAAGAATTCACTTCAAAATTACACTTGTTAATTACTTCAGATATTTATAAAATAAACTCCACTGCATTTGTATTAGTAGGCAGGACAAGAAGAAATGGATGGAAACTAATGAAGGAGAAAACCAACCTAGAACTAAGGAGAATGTTCCTGACAGTTAGAACAAATAATCTTCTGGTTTCCAGAAGTTGTGGGTGCTCCAATACTAGAAGTGTTTAAGAAGAGATTGACAACTATTTATCTGACATGGTATAGGATTTCCTGCTTGAGCAGGATTTAGAGTATAAGACCTCCAAGATCCCTTCCAACTCTGCTATTCTGTTGTTATTATTATACTTTTTATAATCCATTCTTATGGCACCAATCCTAATCCCATTAAAAAAAACCTGCAAGATTGGCAAAGAACAGTGAAAATGTTTATTTGGAAAAGAAAAAAAAATAGAAAACAAAGAATACCCCAGAGTAAAATAGAAGAGTTTACATGATTCAAGTGTCAGAATTGGGCTTGTTTTTTCCAAATTTTAAATTATATTACTGTCTCAGATACTGAAAATATAAATTTCCCATACTATACTAGAATGTTAATACTAGAGGATGCTGGTTGAGCTTTATAGATATTTATGGTATGAGAGCACAAAAATGTTAAAAACATAAAAGGACATAATATCAGAAGGGCTTGCTAAGAATTTTGAATTTCAGGAAAACAATAATAAGTTATCTACCCTTTAAGTTCATCATCAAATAAATACTTTTATATTCTGGAGACAATTATCCTAAGAAAAATATAATTAAGTGCATAATTATTTTTAAGACAAACAATAAGTATGAAACAATTATACAGAACTGAGACAATTTATTAGGAAGCATATATAAATTGTTATTAAAGCATGACATAGATATAGAAGAAACAAGTTTGTATCCATTTACATCCTCCTTTCTTATTTTTTTTAAAGTAACTCAGGGAGGCAAACATATTTAACATTGCTTCCTATTTTCCTCATAACAACAACCCTTGAGATATGTTGGGTGAGAGACAATGATTGGTCCAAAATCACCCAGCTTGAAGTAAAAGCTGTCATTAAAAATGTAATGTTGGATTCTGGATGAAAATTGTCCAGAATTGTTGGGTCCATGTTAGTTTTCTCAGAAGGGGGAGCATCATTGTCTTTTTCAAGGTAGATGAAAATTCATCACTGCATGGACTTATCATTAATACACATTAATGATAATGTGTAACCTCCTTGGGAGCTTTGACCAACAAGGAAGAACATGGTTCTAAGAAACAAGGGGTCTGCTTAAAGAGCCAAGGATCTTGTCTACTTCTTAGGAGTTGCAGGGTTACATTGATTGATCGATTCTTGTTCTCATAACTTTAGGTTGCTAGAAATACACAAAAAGCTGTCAAAGAACAACAAAAATGAAAAAGAGGTTATAACAGGAACACAGCCATCAAAACTCTTTCCAAGTAACTGGACAAACTAGCCTTAGTCACCTCGATTGGACTTAGTCAATTTGGACTAATCAACTCATGTTTGGACTATTGTAATAGACCAAACATGAGGTGACAAAGTCATGAGCAACTATGAGAAGAGACTGCCCATCCAGGAAGTCAGAATTAATGCATCAGATGGTGAAGACTCCCTAGCCAGAGGTGCCACCTCTTCTTCAACAGGAACTGAGAATTCAGGAAAACCTCTAAACTTGAATGTGTTCCATATAGAATAATGCAAACTTATGCAAACCTAAATATGACACATTATGGATCCTTGAAAAAGCACATCCACTTTTGCCTTCTCAGGGTGAAATGTAAGCATATTCTTTCCTCTCCAAATCTTCACAGCCTCAAGCTCTGGAACATGACCTTGATAAGACTGGCCCAGTAAAGGAGATGAAAATTTATTACCACCAGCGAACCGATAATATTGGACCCTGTGTCAATGGATGATTTCACTTAGTGGGTTCACACACATTAAATAGAACATGTGACATTGTCATGCTCTGAGACATCATACAAGAAAGAATCTGGAACCTTAAACTAACCTCACAAACACCCTAGCAAAAACCAACCCAAGAGAAAGGAAAAATAGTGTAACACCATACATCCCATTCCTAAATCATGTAGTCATCCCAGAGAGGTATCAAGACTAATCATACTGAAAGCTGATGAGAGATCAAGAAGAGCTAGGATGGTTGAATTACTTCTATCCCAGTTCCACAAGAGATTAAAATGGCAGTAAATTCTTTTTCCATATTATGTCCTATCCTGAAATCTGACTGAAAAAAATATATAAATTCCCTTACTTTGATCTGGTAGTCCCTATTTGGGGTATAATATCCTTAATCCAAGGCTCTTTTCTGAAGACCTTCCTGAGAAAGGAAGGCCAGAAATTGGATGAAAATTAGAGAAAATGAAGAACTGTTGCATCTAATAATGGCTTCTTTAGAAAGGGCTATACCACCTCCAACATCATGACAGATGGCACTACTTTTTCACACATTGACCAGTGTGATCGATCTAATCAACAGTGGTCAGGTTAATATAATTTAGGATATGGTCCATTTCCTCAGGAGTTATAGAGTAAAACAGTTCCAGGTAACAAAAAAAATAGATTAAACATCAATCTGAGGACTGTTTCTGAAATAATTGTGGCCAGAAAATAAATCAAATAATAGTTCACCCACTATTTACCTCCAAGCTGAACAGAGAAACAAGGCATTCTCATTCTTTGAACTGAAGTTGAAGCAGTCCTTTAAAAGAACCTCTAGAAATCTATTGTTGACAATGGTACCCTCACCTGTAGAAGAGGAGACAAATGAAAATTAAATCCAGAGTAGTGGGTAATTGGAACAGCAGTAATAGGCCACTGTCACTATCTCAGTTACATAACCCAAGCATCCTTTCTTTAAAATAAGCAGACAGACAAATCCTCCTCCATTTGGGGTGTTGGATACTTTACAACTATTTGTCTTGTTACCCTTAGATTGTACAAAATAGAAATTGACATTACTTATTCATGAAACAATGGTTCTTATTACTATACAAGTAATATTGACATATGACTAATTGATTAGCAACCACTCAAACTTATGATGAACCTACCCAGAGCTACTTATGAACTGGATTTGAGGTTCTCATGGCCTCCCACTCCATGGTCATATGATTGCATTTTGAGCACTCAACAACCAAGCTGCATTTGTAGCCTCACACAATCATGTGACGGTTTATGATAGTTTTTGCTGGAAACTGGCATTTACCTTTGGTTTCTTGCAAAAACCACCTATTGCAAACAAAGGAATTGCTTAACTACTGCAGTGTTCTCGTTACAACTCTATTTAATACTGCTGCAGAAAGGTTGTAAAATTGGGCACTATTATGAGACCCTATTAACAACTGCCACATCTTACAACCATAATTCTGGGCTCAATTATGGTTGTGAATTGAGGACTATCTGTATACTACATTCCAGTATTTAAAAACCCATCCAATATTTACATGATTGCAATTCTGACCTGCAATGAATATTATAAATCCATAGCTTGTAAAGAATAGGAAAGAAAGGAAGAGTAGGAGCTATATATTCTCTTACATATTTCCATGCCAAGAAGAAATTGTCAGCATGAAATTGCAGCATACATAACTGGAGGCGGGGAAGTAATACTTAAGTGGTATCTCATGCCACCAGGTGACTACAATATTGTTAAATGATATCTTTTAGAACACATTGATCTAATCACTCAAATAAACAATTAGAATCCAGTTCAGAATTTAAGAATTATACAAGAAATGCATTCACAAACTTTTCAATTCAGATACTACAATGAGAAAAGCCAGTTATTCCAAGCTACTTCAGAAAAAGTAGCTTGCCATCTTGACTTTCTTTCATTTTCTTTGTTCTTATATTGTTTGGTGTATTTTGACCCACCTAGAGTCATTTAGAATTGGGCAGCATCAAATCAAATCATCACTTCAAATACAACAGTGTTCAATATATGCAGTTCAAACCTATAACTGATAGTCAGAAAATAAATTGTGCTTGTTGTGTTAGTTAAGATACAGAACTAAAATTGGGGGAAGCTGTGTTCTAGTTCTGATTTGAGCCAACTAGAAGTCACTAGAGAGATTTTTGAGCCAATTGCCTTCTTTCAAAGCTAGGAAGGAGATAAGAGGCAAACAATTTCTGAAATAACATCAACTAACAATCAATATACCACACAGTGTCTAACTCAAGGCCTAGAGGAACAGCTAAGTCTTAAAATCTTGTTTAAATAAAGTCAGAGTGCATGTATATAATTCAAACTATTAAAATTTATTGCCAAATTGCCATCTATTTTAGGATTCAGAAAAACACTGTGCATACTGGAAAAGTGTGAGGAGCAAGAGGGTCAGAAGAGACAAGCCACAGCAACAGTCAGATGGCAAAAACATCCGCATAGGGCTTCCCCCCCCCCTTTCATGTGATTCATCTCTCTACTATTTGTCTTAACCAACATTCTGGTTATGATTTAGGAAACAAATTGTGATCTGGAGAGGTTATGAAAGCAAAGGATGTTAATCTATGTCCACAATGTTAACCTGCCAATACAAAATAAGTGAACCAAGATTTTTTCTTCAGTTCTCACAACAGATGAAATTTTTATAGACGTATTATTTTATATCCAAAATCAAGCAATGTAAACACCATTTCTGCCTGGCAAAACAGCCCATCTTCCAAATTAAGTGATTCTTTCTGGAGCTACCTTTCAAGGAATAATGGACACACGTGTATAAAAGCTATTGGTAGCCATTATGTGATATTTGTCCAGTAACTAAAGGCTGTCCCCACTATACATGGACTATGAAGCCAAACATAGTGTAAACCACATTTACCATACATTGCAGGTTTCTGTAGTAAACCAAGATCACCCAAAATTAACTTCACTTCAGATGTAGGCTTCCATGAAAACATATTCCCAATCTAGTTCTTCGACATTTTGCAATTTTGTAAATGTGTCTAGCCCTCATAGAAAAGTCATTTTCTTGGAATTGTTAGGAAGAAGATGGATGGTAATGACATCAGGCAGTACCAAGGAGATCTCAGGGGCATCTGTGGGGCAGGAGGTAAAAACAAATTCCAAGAATCCCGAATTCCAATCAGCTGGCTAGCCACACTTGGCTAACCAGCTGGTTGGAATTTCTTTGACAGGCATGATGGCTTCCAAGCTGGCTTGTTTAGCCACACCCTAACCTTTTGAAGGATATTTCAATGTCCATAATCATCCAGGTTTGCCCTCTCACCGTACTAATGTCCTGATGTAATCTAGAGGGGTTGTACTGTATGTGAGCAAAGACAAAAAGGAACAACACTTGGAGAATTGCTTGAAGGTAAGCAGCACCTTTGCCTTGTGTCTTGTTGTATAGAAAGAACAACCAAACTGAGGCTGTACATAACCCCAAATATGTGTAAGAAACTCTGGAAGGAGAAAAGGATTACATGCACTTATCCCCTAAAGAGAAAGAAAACGACTAAGTTTGTCAAAGCCTAAGCACCTGATCATGGCTAGGCCAGATAATTAGAACTGGGAGAGTGAAACTAGCCCTGTTCAGCCAAGACAGCAGCTTTGTATTAGAGAAAGTGTGACATGTAATAAAGGGATGTGTAAAGCTTTCATCGAAGCTGTGGTGTGTCCAATTGTAGCCAAAAGAAATCCCCACACCAATACAGACTCTCTTGGAGAATGAAGAATGTGGGGCAATTACAGGACATGACATTTAACAGGTAGTTCCTCTCTGCAGCAGTCTCCTCTATTACAAAATAAACAAAAACTGCATTTGTTCAACCAAAATTAGTTATATACTTTATGAGATGAAAATGTAATCTCTTATGGCCAAACTCTAAGGAACTGTGCAGTTTTCTAATCACTGTCATAACTTTGCCTTTTAACAAATGACATCTCAAAGGAATTATTGATAATATGAAGACCTTTTTAAAATTAGTTATACTGTATTTTTGCAAAATAATGAAGATTCAATTTTATTATTAACTGACTCTTCGCAGATTGATAAAATGTTACCAGTATGTTTTCAAAGTAGAATTTTTACACATGCTAAAGAAATATTAATCACTTGACAATTGTAAACTTGACAATTTAAAACAGGAAATTACAATATTGCCTATAGATTTCCATCACATTAAATAATGATTTATCGCCAAAGTTAACATTTCCTAGAATTTGTTCATATTCATGAGCTCTTAAAATGTCATGAGCTCTTAAAATGTCATGTTGAAACTTCATTATTTTCATTATTAAATAAAATATAATATTTAAAATGTTTCCTGGCATATAAAGGATTATTGAACATCATCAATTAACTATATAGTCACCAACTTAAAGAATAGAAGGAGACATGGGCCAGTTCAACCTCCAAGCAACTGCAAAGAAATTTCCAAAGATATAATTTTATGATTGCTGCTACTGGATTTTGATTTAAAGGGGAATAAACGTATTTAACTCATTTTTCCTCTACTTCTTTCCCCATCTCCTAAAATTATGAATTTTGTAAATTCAAAGAAAATTTCAGATCCCACTGTTGCTTTTGAATCATGGTAATTAAATATTCCAACCCATGACACTTTCTCTAGTGTGTATATGGGTAGGTAACATGTTACTCAAAGGAAAGTGTGTAATTTGTAATTTTTTGATAGCCTGACCATTTTTTTCCTTTAAAAACTGAGCTTTCAATTCTACATCAAGGTTAAAAAAAGCTCGGCTACAATGAGGAATAAAGTACATTAATGGAACATGTAACAAGGTAGCCACTGGACAAAGAAGTCATTCACCCTGAATAATTCGATTTATGTACACAATAACACACTGGCATTACATTGGGGTGATTGTTCTTTTCCCCCTTGATTTTGGAATGTATATCATCTAAAAATGGACCTCAATACAGTCAACCTGGTCATCATTTACCATCTGTATATTTATTTAAACTTTCATTGTCATGATCTTTAACTGGGCCACACAGCATCATAGGGCAACAATTTTTGAACCAAGGTAGTTCAAATGGGCTAACTTACAGAATGTGTCCAAAATCTGGGCCCCATGACTGCCAAAGAAATGAAATTTGGGAAGGTTGCAGCTGTTTCAGGGCTATTGGCTGCTGCTGCATTCTTGTGGGGTCACATGATCTTCAATTTCAATATTCTATGACAGTTTCCCAGCTAGACTTGCAATCCCCCCCCCCCCAACAGCAGTCATTTATCTGTTTGCTGAGAAAGGAAAGGGCAGAAGGGAAGGGGAGAAGGAACCTCTTTCCTGGCCTATGCCATCTCCCATATGCTCCCCTGACCAGTGACACCCATTCACATGCTTTCCCTGATCTATGTCACCTACCAGTACCCCTTTCCAAACCCACACCGCATCTCTGCTTCATACACAGCACTTCTTGTGCAGCCATTTCTAGTGAACTAAAGTCTTATTAATGGTTAGCAGAGATACTGCAACTACATATCTATTTTAACCTTGATCATATAAACCATCTTTCAAATAATTTCCTAGAAATAGATTTATTTTGATTTGTTTTCTTTGTTCAGTTTCGGTAAATCCTTCAATACTTTAACAAGTCTCTTTTCTAAATCCAATTACTTTTTTGGCTTTTTATTTATATATCTCCTTTAATTATTACAACATCAAACAGTTTTATTTTTATAGCCAGTATATTAACTTTTTCCATATTATTATTGTAGGCTGTCATTTTAAAATCTACTTTCAAATCAAATTCAATCTTGTCTTGCCTTTGTTTCCTTTGTATTAT